TCATCCATAAACCAGGAGTGTCCAACAATGTTCCTGACAGTTTGTCAAGGAACCCCTTACCTTCTTGTGGTCAGCTGTTTGATCTTCTCCCTGTTCGTGCTGTTCTTGGAAGTCTGGACTTGCATTCCTTGCCGTCTGTGTTGTTTACAGACAGGGATCAATTGAGACATCTGCAGCTGAATGATCCAGACATTGGAAAGTTGTTCAGTGCGTTGGAGGATGGTGAGAGTGTGTCATCTGAAGAAGCTCTTCTGTACGCTGTTCTTGATGGTCTTTTGTATCACAAAGACCCAAAATCTTCTTGTACTTTACACCCCATGAAACAGTTCAAGCTTTATGCTCCCCAGGCTGTCAGGAAATCTCTGTTGGAGTATTATCATGACTATTCCACCACAGGTCACTTTGGTGTGACTAAAACAGTGATTAGACTTAAGCAGAGATTTTTCTGGCCTGCCATGCTGTTGGATGTGAAGAAGTATGAGGGTTCATGTGCCATCTGCTAATTCATTAAGCCATCTCAGAGAGAGGCTGGTGGTTTCATGGTTCCAATCCATCCCCAATATCCCTGGGAGTATGCAGGGGTTGACTTTGTGGGCCCCTTGCCCCGAACGCCGAGTGGTAATGCGTTCATCCTTGTGTTTGTGGATTATTGAGCACAGAATTACAACAGCTTATCACCCGCAGACCAATGCTAGGGAGAGAGTAAATTGAATACTGAAAATGGCCATTAGGGAGTATGTTGGAACCAAGCATACTTCTTTGGATCGTTTTCTTCCCCACATTTGTTTTGCATTGCGGACAGCTCAACATGACATCACGGGACTGGAGTCTGTCGATGGTGTTGTATGGCCGCGAACTGGACACACCTTTGGATCTGATTTCTCAGCCCGATTCTCTTGGCGTGGAAGAGCCAGGTGTGACTTCTTTGGATGCCCTGAAGCATTTGCTTCAGGAGGCATCTGATCATATCAGGTCTTTTCTGGAGAAAAGTCACTCTAAGAAAAAGCACTACTATGACAAGAGGCATCAGCTCATTTCTTTCTCTGTAAATGATCTGGTGCGGGTCAAAACTCATCCAAGGTCCGATGCATCTACGAACTTCGCTGCCAAACTCGCGCCTCTATACACAGGTCCTTACCGTGTTGCTCAGAAGTTGTCTGATGTAAACTATAGACTTACTGATGTGACTGTGGGGGAGGACGCAGAGTGTTTCACGTGGTAAACATGGAAGCTTTTCATACATGGGATTCTGGAAATGTATCGAAGATTGTGCCTGTGAATCCACCTCTCGAAATTGAGGAGGACGATACTTTGCTCAGTGACGGGAGCTCCTGTCATACAAGTTCTGGCATGACATCAAGTGGCTGCCCAACTGATAATGTCTGTGTTCTCTTGGAATCTGATACCGAGTTTCTCTATCTGATTTATTTGATGTCACTGACGAGGGTGTGGGTGAATGTGTTGATCCTGCCATTCCCTCTGATTTGACAGAGAGTCATGTTGATTGTGCCAACCAAAGGTATAACCTGCAACCTAGACTTGCCCCCAGGATTACCTCGGGTTGGGCAACCAATAGATGGACAAATGCATTTCACACAGACCGGTTGGATTTAAAATTAATCTGTGAATGGAGAATGTGGGGTGCATATATTTGCATATTTTTTCATGCCATTACAATATTGTTATTGTTTTTTGTAGACTGTTTCTAGGTTAATTAAAACCAGTTAAACTCTGCGGACCCGGATACGGGTCCAAAACGACGTTAAAAATGTTTATGCTTCACTTACATAGCCTTCCTTATATGGTATCAGCCCATATATGGGTTCATTTGAAAGCTTGGAGTGTCTTCTTTACAAAGAATGTTAAATTTAGGCGAAAATACCAAAAAACGCCCCGAGCTTAAGTTAACCAACACTGTTGTGTTTTGTACTTATAAAAGGTAAACTTATCTTGTAAAATGTATTTTGCCATGGATTTTTTAAAATGCCTATGCATTTTTTTTCTATTTGCTTGTGACATTTTCTTTTTTATATACTGTATATCCCAGTGGCGAGTGGTGACTTTTTAAACCGGGTATGCTGAGTGAGAAGAACCAAACAACCCCCCCACCCAATCGGCTTTTAGGACACTCAAAAGGGATCACATATGACAAATAAGAAACACCGTGGCAGGTGTCAATTTAAAAGTATGCACATTTCCTTACTTATTTGTAAATGAAATTCATCTCCTATCCTTCTTCTATCGTTTCAGGTTTATCCATTGTTATTCGAATGCAAGAAAAATATAGCTGGTTTTCCAAGTAAAAACCACCAAATAACGTTTACACGTAGTTACGTTATGATACGTAATCAGAGGGTGGGGGGAATCCCCCGGTCTATATGTCTCTCTGCATCAGCTAAATTATTTTTTTATTCCCAGTGAATAGCAGTTAAAACTCCCACCTGGGTGACACTACTCCAATAACAGACCATGCAAAATACATATGTTGCAACCTTGCAAACAATAATAAAATCAGTGAAGGACTTCAACTGTAAGCGACACGAGCATACGGAAAACAAAGGGAACAATATGAGGTTTGTTATTATAAAAATTTTATATAGCCCACTTTTTATAAACTTTTTTTTTTTATTTACCACTTAGGCAATAATCTTGACAATAACGTATATCTTCAACATACTTTGCCTATGACCAAAAATGTAAGAAGATATGTTTTCAGTGGACTTTTAAAATTTGCTTTGCTTGAGAAAATAAAAATATACAGTTAGTGTTTTTTTCTTGTTTCTTTTGATTTAGTCGAGTTGGTTTTGCATCAAACACAATGTGATTCTCGGCAATCGAAATCTGACAGGAACAGCACATTTTTCCGCTTGGGTGAGCGCTTTGCGGACTGCTTACCTCATGCATGAAATCAGCCGCAGACCAGCAAATCACTGAGAATGTGCTACAATCCTGAAGAGTCATAGCAACAGAGCGGAGGTGAGAAAGCTGCGGAGAATCCGCTCATCCGGAAGCAACCACAACTGGTAGATTTAGAGAAAATTACTGCCGTTTGGCAAATAAATAATTGTACGTACTTATTCCTAACTCTTTAAGCTTTAAGTTACATTTAAAATGACATGGGATCAACTTATAATCATGTTTATATGAATTATCCCGTGAACTTATTCTCTCAAATGGCCTGGGAATGCGGAGCATTCGCAGCTTATATGGACGGAATGCCACTGATATATATTAATATTGTGTTTTTTTTTGTATTATTTGTCTTTCATTTATTGTAAAGAAGTTATAGGGTTTGTAGAAAACGAGCATTTGCAGCTTATATGGACGGAACGCCACTGGTATATCCTAGGACAAAGTGGTTTGGTGAGTTAAAAACGGTCATGTATGTCGGTATTTCTCATCATTTCTCACCATTATTTTTCTTTGTGATGGGAGTATATACAACTATTCATGTATTAAGTTGTTTATGTACTGTAATTTCACTGGGGACAGCAAACTGTAGTAACGTCGTAACTCAGTAACGTCCACTAGAGTATTTACGGTAGTTTTGTGGCAGAGGGACAACAGCACATGTGCATAGCGTGTGTCTGTATGTTATGAAAAGGTCGCCGTGATTTTGCCAAGTAAAATATGTTCCTGGATCAACATCTTTTGTTGATCCTGGATCAACATTACTGTCCAAAAATATAGACTAAACCCAATCTCTACCCCTAAACCTAACCCTACCCATAATTTATTCTAAAAATCAGTGTGAAATGATAGCTGATTAAACAAGGGTGTAGAAGCACCTAACCTTGATCGTAAGCCTAAAACAGATATTTCCTGAAAAGTTATCCCTCAATTCTGATTGGTTAATTGGAATGTTGTTCCAGGATCAACAAGGATGTTGATCCAGGAACATGTTGTACATGGTGAAATCATGGTCACCGTTATGAAAAGGTGAAGAGATAATCTGCTCTACCGACATTTGTCTGTCTTTATTTTATTTCCTGCCTTTTCTGCTTGTGTTCTGTCTGTTTCTTCCAGTGGGATTTTTCCTCACTCATCCCCATGTATGTGGACGAGTGTGTAGGCGCTTGAGGCATTTGTATTAAACCCGGGGAAAATACACCATTGTCTCATCTCCCGTGAATTACTCTCCTCCAGCACCACACAGCTTTCCTATCCGGGCTATTGAACATTTCAACTCGGTGTTACAATAGGCACAGTCTTTTTTGACGGACACCGTGTCCAAGCTGCACATAATTGAGGATGTATTTTAAAGTTTAATCACCGTTCTATATTAAAGCGCTGCTTTAATTGATGCTCTCACACACACACACACACAAACAAACACAAACACAAACACACAAACATATAAGTAGTACAGCTCCTCTTTGTTTATTTTTTAAAATTATTTTATTATTACAGCTAACTACTGAACTGTGAACACTGGATAGCTTTCCTGAGGTAAATGCAACGTTAAGTGACATTGTTAACAAGCTGTTTTATTGGTATCTTTTTGTGGTTGAAACACTGACTGAGCGATTACGTGAAACGTGATACATTTTGGTGAGTTGTACTGTATCTTTCAACATACTTTCTGATGTTCATTCATGTTTATTTCACGCTATAGCTTGTATTAAACATCGGTGCATCTCTAGTTTATATGTATCCCATCTTTTACTCTACACAACAACTTTTAAAATACACTTAAAAGAACTGAAATGGACTAAAGGTCTAGAAAATGCTGGAAGAGTTTTTAACATGTGGACATGCTCCTGTTGTGTGATGTGCTCTATGGGTGGGGAATGAGCACATCTCTGGAGTTCAGTCCTGAGTGTCAAGATGCTTGGATAATGGAAATGAACTGGGCCAAAATTCACCCTAAATCTTGGCCCGCTGCACTTGCATTAGCACATGGATGATGTGAGAGCACTGACACACTGGAGGAATGGCCTAGACCTGCAGGGACACACTGGGATCGTGAGGTATGTGTGTATGGGATGTGTGTATCACACCTGTGTTCCAGGTGTTGTTGCAGTGTGACCAGGGAAGCTGCGTCTGGAAGCTGCTGCACAGGTAGAAAAATGCCCAGGCCAGAATAACAATATAATACACACAACTGTGTAAGATCATCATCTGACTGGCGAAACCCAGACCTGAAATAGCAGAACGATCCAATCACAAACATAGAAACAAAGACAAAACAAATAAAAGATGAATCAATCTAAAATTACAATGCACAAACTCAAATTCAAATAGTCTCAAAATAAAGTTGCATTCACAAATAAAATCCAAACAGACACACTTCTATCACATGCGGACAGACTTTGGGACTGTGCAACAGATTTATGTAGTCATGTCACTACATTAATGTGTCGTGATAGATTGGACTGCACCAAGTTTGAAAACGTTACTGTGCAAATGAGATTTCAAATTACAGCAGTGAGGAATATTTTCAGTGAATAATAACTGCAGTTTGGGTCTGTTTTTAACAAACTAAAACTAAAACCATAAAACAACACTTTTGTTGAAATAAGATGAAAAAAATATAAAATATATATTTATATCATCCTACTTCCAGCAGTTTGTCTCCGTGCCTCTAGAGCCCCCCTGTGTTCCCTTCAGCCTTAGTTCTTCCTTGTGTGTCCTTGTTAGCATTATCCAGGTCACCTGTGCCTTGTTTTCCTCAGTGTATTTAAGCTGTGTATTTTTAACCTTGTTCCTCACTCGGTTTTTGGTGTTTCCTGCTGGGTCTTGCCAAGTCCTCCCAAGCTACCCCTAGAGCGGATGGAACGATGAGGCGTTGAAGGTCTGTTTTCAGGGAGGGTTGTCTGAGCCCCTTCAAAATGAGTTAGCCAGCCGGGAACCAGCTGATGATCTCAAGTCCTTCATTGCGATGGCCATCAGCCTGGACAATCGCCTGAGAGAGCAGAGGGTGGCTCGCCGCAAGGCATCTCAGTCCCAAGTTCCTATGAGCAGGTCTGGTTCCCCAGTTTGTGTTCCTTCGTCCAGGGCTTCCCCAGTCCCTGAACAGCTCCATGATTCCCCGGAGGACATGCAATTGGGTCGTTCCAGGCTCTCTCCTAACAAGAGGGAATGCCGCATGAGGGAGCGACGTTGCCTCTACTGCGGTGCTTCCGGTCACTTTCGCTCCACGTGTTCCGAGCTCTCGGGAAATGGTTCTCCCCACCCAGCTACATGAGGGCTGTGATGTGGAAAATTAGAGCTCCTCCTATTAACACCGTCCTAACTGTTCCAGTCACTCTGTCCTGGGAGGGCCACCAGCATCCGGTCCAGACCATGATCGATTCCCGCGCCGCAGGTGACTTCCTGGATCTATCCTTGGCTAAGGAACTTAAGATCCCTACCCAACTTCTTCCTCACCCCCAGGCAGTTACGACATTGGACGGCAGACCTATGGAACTGGGCAGAGTAACAGAGGCCACTCAGTCCCTGTGAATTACCATCCTTGAACACCAGCAGGAGGAGACCTTCTATCTAATTGACTCTCCCGAGTTTCCTGTTATCCTGGGCCAACCCTGGCTGCATAAACATAACCCTCGGATCGACTGGTCCGCTGGCACCATCCTGAGCTGGGGTTCCACTTGCCTAATTCAGAGTCCCTCAGCCCCTAGTTCCAAGTTTCTAGAGTCTTTCAACCTGGCTCGAGTTCCCAGTTCCTATCATCAGTTCAAGGCAGTGTTCAGCAAGTCCCAGGCCACCTCTTTACCACCTCACCACCCCTACGACTGTGCTATCGATCTGCTCCCTGGTTCCTGCCCTCCCAGGGGTCGGATCTTCTCCTTGACTTCCCCTGAGCGCACAGCTATGGAAAGCTACATAAAGAGTCCTTGGCAGCCGGCATCATCCGCGCCTCTACTTCCTCTACGCCTTTCTACTTGGGGCAGGCTTCTTCTTTGTGGGGAAGAAAGACGGGGGTCTTAGGCCATGTATCGATTACCGGGGCCTCGGCAAGATCACAGTTCAGAATCGATACCCCCTTCCTCTCATGGCCACTGCTTTTGAGCTACTACAAGGGGCTTCCATTTTTACTAAACTGGATCTATGCAACGTTTACCATCTCGTGCGGATCCGGCAAGGGGGTGAATGGAAGATGTCCTCCAGAGACTCCTTGACAATCATCTTTACGTCAATCATCTCTACATGAAATGTGAGTTTCATGTCATCCAGGCTCAGTTTCTCTGGTTAATTATCACTCCGGGCCACGTGGAGATGGACCCGAAAAAGGTTGAGGCTGTCCTTAACTGGCCCATTCCCACCACAGTCAAGGAGGTTCAACGCTTCATCGGCTTTGTTAACTTCTATAGGAGGATCATTAAGAATTTCAGCTCTGTGGTGGCTCCCTTGACTGCGTTGGCCAAAGGTGGAGGAGTCAAAATTCACTGGGGTCCAGAGGCAGCAGGGGCCTTCCAGGATCTCAAGTGCTGCTTCACTTCCGCTCCCATCCTCTCGATCCCAGACCCAGGAAAACCTTTTGTGGTGGAGGTAGAAGCCTCTGAAGTGGGCGTAGGGACCATCCTGTCACAAAAAAATTACACCCTTGCGCCTTCATGTCTCGTCGCCTGTCGGATGCCGAGCGCAACTACCACGTGGGGGATCGAGAGCTGCTCACGGTAAATATCGCTTTGGAGGAGTGGCGCCATTGGCTTGAGGGGGCTCAACATCCTTTCCAGGTTCTCACGGACCACAAGAACCTGGAATATCTCCAGCAGGCTAAGCGGCTGAACCCTCGGCAGGCTCGATGGTCCTTGTTTTTTAATCGATTCCAGTTTATCTTGTCCTACAGACCCGGCACCAAGAATGTTAAGCCAGATGCCCTGTCCCGAGCCAACTCTCCCGAGACACAGGAGAAACCTGTGGCATCGATTATTCCAGGGTCAAGGATCGTCGCACCCCTTCAGTGGGAACTGGAAAGGGTGGTGCGAGAAGCCCAAGCCCAAGAGCTAGATCCAGGAGGTGGTCCCACGGGACGCCTGTATGTCCCTCAATCTGCCCGGGCCCGGGTCTTGCAGTGGGGTCATGAGTCTCCCTTGACGTGCCATCCGGGAACTGCTCGCACACTTGACTTCCTCCAGCGGCGGTTTTGGTGGCCGTCCATCAAGGAGGATGTTAAGGTCTATGTGGAGGCCTGCCCCGTGTGCAGCCAGGGGAAGTCCACACGTCAGGGACCTCAGGGACTGCTCCATCCCTTACCCGTTCCCCGTAGGCCATGGTCGCACCTTTCTCTGGACTTTGTCACGGGACTCCCACCATCCCAGGGCAACACAGTCATCCTGGTGGTTGTGGACCAATTCTCTAAGGCCACCCGGTTCATTCCTCTGCCCAAGTTGCCTTCGGCCAAAGAGACAGCAGAGCTTTTATGAATCATGTCTTCCGGGTATTTGGAATTCCCCGGGATATTGTCTCCGACCGAGGGCCCCAATTCTCATCCAGGTTCTGGAGGGCCTTCTGCAGGCTTATTGGGCTCACAGCCAACCTATCGTCCGGGTTCCATCCAGAGTCTATTGGCCAGACAGAACGGATTAACCAGGATCTGGAGATCACCCTGCGGTGTATGGTGGCCAATAACCCCACCTCTTGGGCTACCTACATCATATGGGCTGAATATGCCCACAACACCCTCCAGTTCTCAGCCTCTGGACTATCCCCCTTCGAATGCCAGTTCGGGCATATCCCTCCATTGTTCCCCGCTGGAAGGCTCCTAATTTCCAAGCCGGTCAAAGAGTCTGGTTAGCCACCAGGACTTGCCCCTCCGGGTTGAATTGAGGAAGCTTTTCCAGAAATACATCTGGCCTTTTCGCATTGCAAGGAAAGTTAACCCTGTTTCCTATCGTTTGTTTCTTCCCCGTTCCCTTAGAATTAACCCCACGTTTCATGTCTCATTGTTAAAACCTGTCTTGTCTTCTCCTTTTGCCCCCCCACGCAGACCCCCTCCACCTCCAATCATCGACGGCCAGCCGGCCTACACGGCCTGCAGTTTCGGGTGGACTGGGAGGGCTACGGGCCGGAGGAGCGCACCTGGCCAAAGACATCCTGGATCCAGGTTTGATCCGGGAGTTTCGCACCCGGAGGTAGGGGTGTTCTGGAAGGAATGTCAGGAGCCGTTCCTAGAGTAAGGGGTCCTGTAAGCATCCTACTTACTATAGTTTGTCTTGTGCCTCTAGAGGTCCCCTGTGTTCCCCTCAGCCTTAGTTCTTCATTGTGTGTCCTTGTTAGCGTTATCCAGGTCACCTGTGCCTTGTTTTCCCAGTGTATTTAAGCCGTGTATTTTTTCCCCTTGTTCCTCACTCAGTTTTTGAGTCGTTGCCCTGTGTTTCCTGCTGGGTCTTGCCAAGTCCTCCCAATCTACCCCTAGTAAGGTATCTTGAGTTTTTCTCCTTGGTTGTCATTGTTCTATTGTTTTGTTTTCTCCCCGCGGGGAGTTTTTATTTTCTCTTGTGGTTTTTACTGTTGTTAATACCTCGGTCTGAGAAGAACTTTTGTTGGATTATTCTTGCTAATACTTTTTTTAAAAATACAGCTTCATTTCCTGGGAAACTGCCTTGAGTGTTTTGTTTGGATCCAACATTACCACTCCTGTGGCTTAGTGGTAGATCTCTCAACCATCACACCAGAAACCCAGGTTCTAGCCCGGCTTGTGTCGTGCATATATATTATTCCAAGGAAACTCTTCTGATTTTCATTTAGTTTAAATTTAAGTACTAAATAAATAAATAAATAAATTTACTAAGTAAATACTAAAATACTAAAATAACAATTTCACACAGAGCATCATTAAAATAAAATAACCTTTAACTGGTAAAACATTTAAAAAACCTCAGCTTATTTTATTCAGCTAGTTGCCAAAGCAATTTTTCTCATTTTTATTTATTTTAACTGTAAGTATTAAAATAACATATTTTTAAATACTAATGACAAAAACACACAACAAAATTACAAAAACTTTAACTACTTTAAAATTAAAACAGAAAAGTCATCTGACTTTTTAAGTCTTGGAATAAACTGCATTTGGATTAGTCATTTGGATTTTATCACTGCTGTTTGAAGCTTGACATTCTAATAAGCATCTTTAAAGGGGTCATATGATGCAATTTCAATTTTTCCTTTCTCTTTGGAGTGTTACAAGCTCTTGGTGCATAAA